AGCTGTATATATGTGGAAAAAATTTACAGTTTCAACATGGTTACCGTTGCCATGGAAACCTACGAAAAGTGAAGAATTTTGTCCAGAAGTGTTCTCACTGATATCTTGGACAATCGTAATGAATCTTCATAGAAATGATAACCAGTAATTGTAGTTTTGCAAATCGCATTTACAATTTTCAAATCACCCATCGTTGCCATGGAAACAGAAGAAAAGTAAAAATTGCTTAACTTTGATTTTCTCACAAACTGCTCAAGCAATTATCTTGAAACTTCCACGGATTGTTCCTTACATTCTGTCAAGATAATTTCTATTTTAAAAGTTAGAATCTTTTGCAAACAGTTGCCAAAGGAATGAAAGAAACAAAAAAAGTTAATATTCACACAGATGATTTCCGAGGTGGCTTGGACAATTGTGATGAAAATTTACAAAAATTAAAATTAGACACTCTATTTGTTCAGTCAATATTCAAAAATTTCTAAATGCTTATCGTTGCCATGGAAACAGGAAAAATGTGATTTTTATTCAAATTTTCATTTTTCTCTGTAACTAATAAAGCAAACTTTTCAAAACTTTATTGGTTTAATCCTCTCAATGTATCAAAGTGGTTTCTGCTTAAAATGGAATTGATGTTCAGCGGAAGGAGGTCGGGACAACTAATTATTCTTTACTTACCTTACATTTGTCTTGGAGCGTTCTCGTAGAAGGCTTAGAAAATCTTTATGAAACTTCACAGAAATAAAGGTCAACACCTACAGTTGTGCGGATATATTTAATTTTCAAAGGATGTTTATTTAAAGCTGAAAAATTCATATTTGCAGTTTCTTGGATGTCCACAGATTTTCTCATAAACGGCTTTAGTTAGAATTTAATAGATATTCTATTGATCTTGATAGGTTTGTGTTTTTTTTATGACGTCACTTCCGGTCGGGAGATATTGCCGATTTCCTGATTTTCAGAGGGTCGGCTTGTCCTGGAGACTCCTCCTAAACGACCTAAGATATTGAGTTAAGATTTCAGTGAAGATAGAGGAAAGATTGCAGATGTGCCATTTGCAATCTATATCCTTCCAGCTTAGAAAGCGCCGAAGCTCGTTTGGGCTCGAAAAATAGACTCACAAGCATCTCGCAAAATTTGACACGTTTTCTTTTATATGCTTTACCTGTAAATATTTTGTTAAAACATATATTACAAAAGATGTGCAAAATGATAAGACCTTTCATTTGATATCAAGAAAAAGGGGCTTTCTCCTCAAATTAGGGGCTCAGAGGGGCCCAATGTCTTTCATGTATAACTCTTGAACGAACAATATTTTGTTATAAATTACTGAAGCAAAAATGTTCATCTTAACGATTTGCAACTATATGTTTTAAAATTTTGATCATATGTAACGTAATAAGGAGTCAAAAGGGGTCAGAATACTCAATCTTTGACGTTTTATATCTCAATAATTTAATTCTGGTTGTAACGCTTTATTTGATTGGACAAAAAATTTACTTTATTTTGTATAAAATGGGTTGCCTACGTCACAATGACTTGCGTCAAAAACGTATCGATCCGCCTGACGTTACATTCAAAATTTGCACAAATTGAAGTCATCTTTTAAGGACAATCATCTTTTTTTCTGACATCAAATGAATGAAAATTAAATTATAAGGAATGAATTTAATAGCTACCCAATTTATACGGTATAAAATGGGTTGGAACAGTTTACGCTTTTTTATAAACCGCTTCGCGGTTTATAAAGCGTAAACTGCCCCAACCCAGTTTATACCGTATAAAATGGGTAGCTATTAAATTCATTCCTTAAAAAAGGGGGAATATTTTGAAAAGCAATGTTGAACAAAAGATGTTCAGAATATTGTTCTAAACAGTATGCAACCTTTCAATTTTTAGCAAAACGACCCAATTTAGGACTTAAACGGCTGACCCCTAAATATTTTATGCCCCCGGATCGAAAGATCCCGGGGGTACGCAGCACAGTTAAGGCTGCAATAAGGAGGCGGGGCGCGTTATGAAAATTTGTTTGCACACACCGTTGCAGTTATGAGACGATATTTTTCAAAAAATAATGATTCATTACTTTGTGTAAGCTATGTAGTAAATGGAAGAGCCAATGTAAAAGCTTCTGGTCAATGTGAGCGTGATTTTTTGATTTTCGCTTATGACATTGTACATCCTCGGCGATCAACGACTGTGACGTCAAAATAAAACGCATGCTTTAACCTTTTAACACCCTTTCCGTGTTATGGTGTTTTGAATGCCATAGATTTCCACACACTTTATATGCAAAATACATATGTAATGTAAATATCGATATATTGCAAGGGCATACCCTCAATGAATTACGACAAGTTTTTACACATAAACTCAAGAGATATGAAGATATTTGAAAAGTGCTGCGAACCTGAAGAAATCTTGCAAATGAATTAATTATATTTACATTTAATGTACTTGAAAGCAAAGTATTCAACATACGGTCTAACAAATATATAGTAGAATATAAATAGGTTCGCAGCACTTTTCATGAATTACAAAGGGTGCTGTAAATAATTATAAATTAAACTTAGATTTTTAACATGGTTATGCCCTTGCAATATTGGAATTTATAGATGACCTCAATACTGCAGGTATATTTGCTCAAATCACGCGACTGCCACATTACGTGACAAATTTAAATAAGAAATCTAAACGTCCTCAACATGTAGTTTTCAGCCACATTACATTGCATTTGTCCGATAATAGTCATGATAGTAAAGGCCTTAAAAAAATCGCCCACCCTTGTAAACAATGTATTTTCTGTCTAAAAAATTCGCCGATATTTTCATTTGGCACCTTAACTGTACTGCGTATATTATTTTTGTCCTGTCTGTCTGTTTGTCTCTCTGTCTATTGTCAACTTTAACCTTGCCCATAACTTTTGATTAGTTAAAGCTATGACTTTCATATTTCACATGTGTATCCCTTGTGACAAGACCTTTCTTTGGGTACCATCATATTTGATCTTTTGACCTTGCCCTTGGAGTTTGACCCACTTTTGCAAAATTTTATGAGACTTTAACCTTGGCCATAACTTTTGAACAATTGGTGCTTGGGGTTTCAAACTTCACATGTGTAATCCTTGTCACAAGACCTTCCTTTGGATACCAACCACTTTGACCTTTTGATCTTGACCTAGGAGTTTGACCTACTTTTGAAAAAATTTTAACCTTCGCCATAACTTTTAAATGGTTTATGCTAGGGCTATCATACTTCACATATGTAATCCTTGTGACATCACCTTCCTTTAGATACCAACCACTTTGGCCTTGACCTAGGAGTATGACCTACTTTTGAAAAAACTTTAACCTTGGCCATAACTTTTGAATGGTTGGTGCTAGGGCTTTCATACTTCACATATGTAATCCTTGTCACAAGACCTTCCTTTGGATACCAACCACTTTGACCTTTTGATCTTGACCTAGGAGTCTGACCTACTTTCGAAAATTTTAACCTTGGCCATAACTTTCGAATGGTTGGTGCTAGGGCTTTCATACTTCACATATGTAATCCTTGTCACAAGACCTTCCTTTGGATACCAACCACTTTGACCCTTTGACCTTGACAAAGGAGTTTGACCTACTTTCGAAAATTTTAACCTTGGCCATAACTTTCGAATGGTTAGTGCTAGGGCTTTCATACTTCACATATGTAATCCTTGTCACAAGACCTTCCTTTGGATACCAACCACTTTGACCTTTTGATCTTGACCTAGGAGTCTGACCTACTATCATACTTCACATATGTAATCCTTGTGACATCACCTTCCTTTAGATACCAACCACTTTGGCCTTGACCTAGGAGTATGACCTACTTTTGAAAAAACTTTAACCTTGGCCATAACTTTCGAATGGTTGGTGCTAGGGCTTTCATACTTCACATATGTAATCCTTGTGACAAGATCTTCCTTTGGATACCATCAACTTTGACTTTGACCTTGACGTTTTACTTACTTTTAAAAAACTTTAACCTTCGCAATAACTTTTGAACAGTTGCTGCTAGGGCTTTCAAATTTCACAGGTATATTCCTCGAGACAAGACCTTTCTTTGGGTACCAACATTTTTTTGATCTTGTGGTCTGGATTTTGACTTGCATTTGAGAAACTTTAACCTTCGCCATAAGCTGTCATACGGGGGCATCAGTGGTTCACAAACACATCTTGTTTTTTTTTTTTTAAATTTTTTATGATCAAAACACTTGCCACTTTTTAAAATTGTGTACAGACTAAAAACTTACACCTACTCACGAGCAGGCGTAGATTCAAGCCAAAGTTTAGTCTCGACTATGTCTCCGCCTTCTTTTGAAACACAGCTCAGTCCACTTTTCGATTTAGTCACTGATTTAGTCCGGACTAAAGCTTACGCATGGTCGTAGGCCTTTTTGAGAAACAGGCCCCAAACGTTTACACCCACGTGACCCTGCACTGTACCCAGTGTAAAAGGTGAAAGCATCTGGAAAATATACATAGGTCAGACCCAGCATCAAAAGAAAGCCTGGTTGTGTGCACCCTAAGATGTAGCATCCATGCAAGTTTGGTGAATATAAGGTTAATAGTTTAATACTTGGAAATGAGACATGTTCCAAAAACTTTATTCCGGTCGTTCGTCCGCAAAATGCAGGTCAAATTTAGCATCCGAAGGAAGATTGGTTGTGAACACCCTTAGATGTATCATCCATGCAAGTTTGGTCAACATAGGCATAGAGCTTACATATTTAGAACTTTAACCTTCTCCTAGTCCAAAAACCTTAACCTGGTCACTCATGCGGAAAATGTTAGGTCAGATCCATCCGAGCAAGCATGGTGATGTGCATCTTTAGATGTATCATACATGCAAGTTTGGTCAAAATAGTTTCTATGGAAGCATCCTCAGATAGCGTGGGTTAAAGATTGTTTATATTGATTAACCTGGAGCGAATCAGCTTGGATACGAAGCTTCTTGGTACAGGCGTTTAAAAAAAATCCAATATGGCGTGTTTTGTACGTTACAGCGCATTATTTGGAAAATTCCGTATACATACTCTTAAAAATAAACGTCATTTGCACAGTCGGAATGAAAATCTTCAAAATACAGCTTTTAGAAATAACCTGGAACATTACCTTAGTGAACACGAGTATAGTTTAGCAGCTGTTAAAATATACGGAAACCATGAGCTGGAGGAGGAGGATGAAATAGTATCTGAACCATTCTCTGAAACTACATTTTGGAGATTTGGTTGGTACAAACTACACGAAAAAGCAATCGATTCAGGGGATCTTAAAACAACGCTTAAAATACTTGGAGCACGATCGTCAACTATTTTTGCCAAAGGATACGATGCCATCGAACGTTATTTAAGAAACAAGGGTGAATTATCAAATTCACACGAAGAAGTGGCTTTTGCAGCATTGCAAAGATTTTATTCAAACAAAGGTAAAATGTTGATTCTTTTTTAGAAAAATTATTTGATCACATTGCAGGGATCGACATTAACGGTTGTCCGATTGCCCGGGACAAGTAAATTCTCAGTTCGGGCAAGTGAAATTGTCGACGTTCTTGTCCGATCGGGCAAGTGAATTTTTCTCAAACAAATGTACATATTTATTTAGTTTACATTAATTTATAAATAAAACAATAAATTGAACACTTGATTTCCTCCACGCACCTGATAACAATGTTTTTGCATTTGGAATTCCTTGGTAGCGTTTCTGGATTATACCACTCATTTAAAAATCAGGTTCATTATTTTCTTTCGTAGTAAATACGCTCTACGTCTAACAAAGTTTTGTTAATTTCTTATAAGGAAATTAAATTATTTATTCAAGCATAGGATATAAGTACAGTGTAACACGATGTATCCTTATCAAGATAAGATGTATGTTTTGTAGCAACTATCTTCCTAAGCGTTGCTTCACAGTTATCTCTGAAAGCACGAATCACAAAAGGATCCTACCCAAAATAATTTTAAAAATATAAAATTTTATTAAAAGGAAACGGAGGGTTATTGTTGCATGGCAGTGTGTGTAAACAGGTTAAATTTACAAGCACAGTGGTATTCATTTATGTACAAGTGCAACATGCATCGACATTTTTTCGGGTAGCTCAACTTGCCAAATTGACAGTAGTGTATCTTTTTTCTTATAATAACGTTATAGTAATTAATAATTTTCTTTTAAAGTTCTTTCTTAATTTTTGGCAACCAAGTTTCGCATTAGTCAAAGTTTTAGATCACTTGCCCGAAGGGCAAGTGAATCTGAAAGTTAATGTCGATCCCTGGTCACATTCCGGAGATCAGAGAGATTTATATAGATCCGGCACAATCTCTTGATTTAGCTATATAGCTTTAAGCTATTCAGAATAGCTTGATTTAGCTATTTTATCACACTTTTTCTCAAATGTGTTATTTTATCAGCATGCACAAAAAGTCGCACCTTGGTGCAGTGATAATTAATATTCAACTTTGAACTCTTCTGAATACAATGCATGTAAAAATTACTCACCAAATTGCATGTCCTTAAGAGACTTAATTGAACTCATAGTTATAAAAGTTTTGGGGCTATTGATTAGGGACCATACAGTTACTTCTTGAATGAAGTTATAAAGGAGGTCAGTTATTGTCAACAAGATAACTGATTGGTAACAATAGTGATCATACTTATCCACGCCTCAATGCACACAAGGTAGTGTACAGCTACTCAAACAATGGAAATTCATCTTTTGCTTGAAAGTATTCAAAAGCTGCAAAGTTAGAACTATCTCTGATTTGGGTTGCTTTTTTAATTGCCCATAGTACATGTATATGAATAGTTAATAGCGACTTTTTGTCTATTTCTTACAAAAAACATTTTTGTGAAAAACTGCATATAAATAGCTTTATCAAGCTATTCTGAATAGCTTAATAAAGCTAAATAGCTTATTCAAGAGATCTGTTATACTTACAGATTTTAATTTTATGCTAAGTTTGATCAGATCCATGTAAACAAGGGTAGACTTAGTTAAAATAAACTAACCGGGTTAGGGACAGGCTTTCTCTACAGTTGCACACATTTACCATTTTAATGATAGAACATTCTATTTAGGGTAGGCTGTACATACTTATTTATATACTATCATCATGATCATTAGTTACAATACATAGTGTTGTAGTCACTGGGTATGGGATGATACCTGGTAAAGAATCTGGGGGGATAAGACAGCCAAGTGCCCATGCCCATTAGAGGTGAGACGAGATACCGATACATACTGATATTTTCTGCTTAGATACAGTTTACGATACATGCATTGAAATAGGGTAAGTCAGGGTAATTTCGACCACCGTTTAATTTCGACCACAGGAACTCAAAACCACACAAAGATCTACGGAAGTGTTGAGACAAGTTTAATTTATTCAGAATTATAGAAACTATTCCTCAAATTATGTGTCGTAGTATAATTATTCATCGCAAATATGGCTTGATCAGAGATATAAATAATATTTTAACTGTCATTTATGTCTCCAGTTTGACGTTCAAAGTCCCAGTCTTCAGTGCGCTTGATTTGATCAGGGAAATGCAAGAGAGACAACTCGTACAACCTCTTTTTAAGTTTAACTTTGTTCAACAGTCTACAGCACGAGTTAAATTAAAATTGTTTTATTTCTTCTTGGAATATCTTTAAGTTGCAGAATTTTACAAATTTATCTTGGATTTCTCTCAAAATGCACAAGAAACGTCCATTTGATTTTGGTCGAAATTACCCCTACTGATTTTAAGGACGCGGGGTAAATTCGACCACTTATTCTGAAATATACGTGTAAGTTGTCTTCAACAGCTGTTTAATGCAATGCAGAGTTAGATCTTAAATAAAAATAATTATAATATATATGTACAATATTATCTACACATAACCTTTTATATTAAAAAAAATATATCAGATTATTTAATTAACATGTGCATGCCTAGCTATATATATTGTCTGGGCCGTTCACGAGGTTCTTACTTGTAGTCCTGAGTATTCACGAGGGTGCATCACTGATCGAGGTGCGAGAGAACATGGAGTCGGCACTGGCTTTGAATTAATACATGACGAGAGCAATCCTAAAGATTCCAAACCCATCAAATTAACAAAAGAGAGGGTGCAGGCAATATTAAATATAGGTCCCTAACAAAAAAAAAATCAGGTTTTTGTAAATTTTTTCATTATTACGAATGCGTAAACTTTGACGAATAAGACTGAGGCTATCGAAAACCAACGACTCAGGCGTATTAAGATCGTATCACACAGTCCAGGTAAAAAAATCCAAATAGTACCCAAAATATCAGAACAACACACCAAAAGAGCCGCAACAATCTTGAAACAAAAAAAAAAAACTATGATGTTACACGAAATACTGAAATGATTTGTTTGAGTTTAGGTTTTTTTTTTTGGGGGGGGGGGGGGGGTAAGAGGACTTTGCTTCTGTAAATCTTTATTTAATTGACTTATCGAATTTCTCGGGATCTATCTCTCTTAAGAATTAACAAAACACGTAAAATACGTATATTACATGTAACAACGCATTCCAAATGAATGTGTATACGGTAAAAATTAGTGAAGAAAAATATACGCAATTCTAATGCTATGCTCAAACCTTATACATAGATATACAATCTGAATGATTCTGTTGTGAAAAGACGATATTAAATAAAATTCCTTTTGGGTTGGAGAATTTAAAAATCATAACAAAGAAATTATTTGTGGGATCTGAGAAAATTTTATCTATTTGCATAACTATATATCACAATTTTAAATTATAGAGTTGGCGAATAAAAAGCAGAATTTAGAATAAAGAATAAAAATTTTGAAAGATGTCTATAAGACAGCATTGAAAAGCTTATGTAACCCAACCCATATCTTTAGTACTTATCCATTTTACTCTGTTTGTTGAGAGAGATAGAGATAGATATACGTATTTTCTAAATAAGCAATATAGTTTCTCGGACCATAAATTTTGAATAAAATGCGACAGGTAAAGTTTTCTTGCATTGCAAGAGTTATCTTTCTTTTTGATGTTTGTTGTGGTCGAAATTACCCCGAGGCCGGTCGAAATTAACCCATGCGACATGCTTACTTATTTTTAAACCAATCCATTATTTTTTATGCATTTTTAACTCCTAAAGCAGAAAAATCTGAAGAAAAAAATCAATCTCAATTACTTTGAATCTTTTTTAACTAGTACATTTGAAAACAGTCGTGTTTTGTGGATTGAAAGCCACAAATCAGCAAAAGTGGTCGAAATTACCCCACTCTACCCTATTGGTACGAAATGATACACGAATAACCTATCAAAAAAACTGAAAATGAAAGTAGTTGTCCCTGGAAAATGGCGGCTTGTATGAAGCGAAGAGAGGATATTGATATTGAAAACATGCTATAGAACTAACACGTCGTAGGTAATGGGTAAAACATTTTCACTTTTAAGCATCCTCGGATGATAGGACAAGAAATTTAAAGTTCAGTATGTTATTTACAGAAAGTATCATTTCCTTAGCAGGGGATATTTATTAATGTCCATCTGGCATGAACAGCTTGGAACAAAGCATGATTTCTCTAATTTCATTAAAAAGAATTTGAAATTGTGAAATAATTTGTAGACTAATTCTTTTGTAAACTCATCTTGGTTACGAGATATAGACTTTCAGCATTTAAGGTATGTCACTCGTGAAATTAGTTATATCAAGGATTTTTTGAGAAGTATATTTTAGACAAGTACTCGTATAACATGACTCAAAACTGCAAAGAAAATGGGTGGTCAGTTTGCATCTTACTGAGCTAAGGTAAAATTAAGTTGACCTTTTTGCACTTAAATTCCAACTCTTTGGTTAATCACTTTAATCTTTATGATATTTATCAGAATGAGATGTAATTATGGCAATAAATATAATCTTATTTTACGTAAAATAGTTTGAATAATATTTATCATTGGACAAATCATGCAAATTAATGTACAAAAATTATTGTGTGACCTTTTTGCACTAAAAAGTATCATATTTGGGGGTATTAAAAATCTAAATGGGCAAAAAAATATTTTCTTGTATCAAATTTTTTATGACTTAAGGACAGACGATACGTTCCTCAATAATATATAATTTTTTCTAAGATTTTGTCATTGAAGTATTGCTACTTTAACATGTTTACTCACAAAAAAATTAGGTACCTTACCAGGCATTTGTGCAAGATAGCAGAGGATGTTTTTCCTATAAAATCCTTTTGGAAAAAACTTAATTAACCAATAACACATTTTTGTTTCAATTTTTTAAAGACAACTAGAAACCAGTTTAGAAATCAGACGGTAATTAAAATTTTGAATATTTTCCACACAATGCGAAGATATACAAAACAGATATCTGAGGGACATATCATCTGACCTTAAGTGCTGATCAGTTGGAAGTATCCTGTAGTTTAAAATAATAAAA